GTAGAAAAGATAAACCTCTTAGATAACATTTTCAAAAACACAATTCTGTATCTGGAATGGTTTCTGTATAAGTTTTCTTCTATTAGAAAAAGTAAATTCATGTACCTTAAAATGACTTTCACTATATTTAGGTGATAAATTAATTTTCCAGGTAGAATGTTTTCAAAAGTACAGAAAAAATAATTTTGAAATTTTGCATAAAGCTTACATAAGGGTACTTCAAAATGTTCATGGAAAAATAGAATTAAATATAATATGAATCTTTCCTTTACATGAACTTTTTGAAGAACCCTCATACTTATCTGGTACCTTGAGATTGCACTATTAGTTGAATACATCTGCAAATGATACTACACAACTAAACAAGTTATATTGTATGTAAGTTAGAAGAAACATGAACAAAAATAAATAAGAAAATTGTTTGCACCATCTCATTTTTTATGATTGTGTTTGAAGTTCAAGATGGATACATCTCCTTAAGATGCTAATTACAATTTGAAAGAAAATGTCAGGAAATGCATTTTAGTACCTGTGAATGTGACCTTGTTTGGAAAGGATATTTGTAGATGTAATCTAGTTAAAATGAGGTGCTACTGGATTAGGGTGATGCCTAACCCTGTGTGACTGGAGCCTCTATAAGAGGAGGAGAGGACATACAGAAAGAATGCCATATGGTGAAGCGCGCCATGTGATGACAGAGCACCAGGGATTCGTGGCAGCCAACAGATGACAGGAAGAGGCCAGGATGGATCTTTCCCTAAAGCTATTAGGGAGAGCATGGCCCTGCTGATTTCATTTCTGATTTCTGTGTTCCAGAACGGTGAAAAAACAATTGCGTCTCTATTGTTTTAAGCCACCCAGTCTGTGGTACTTTCTTACAGCAGCCCTAGGAAACTAATGCAGGTCCCACAAGTATATACATTTGTTAAAACTTACCAGCCTCTGTGTGTGTGTGTGTGTGTGTGTGTGTGTGTAAACCTGTGTTGATTTCACCTGTGTTAGTAATAATAGCTATTTATTTGTCTGGGTGATAGGTAAAATTATTTATACAATGTCTATATGTATAAGTTTTTAATTTTTTTAAAAAATAAAGAAGATAGAGAGTAGCAGTATGTGATATGAAGATTATGGGTGAGGGAGTGATAAACAAGAAAAAAGTACAAATGGCAGAGAGTAGTGGAATTCATTTCAGTTTAAAAATGATCTTTTATTGAGGAATTGCTGTAGGGTTGGAGAGGAGTCACAGGCAGGGAGACACAGGATAAATGTAACATGTCCTGAACTTCGGAGTTCATATAGCTACCTTTTTTGCTGGAGGAAGAATGGCTACTCCTCCAATTCCAAAACAGAACACAGTTCCAAAGGGGGAGTGCTTTGGGGGCAGCCTTATCTCTGACAGGATCCCATGAGGATTGCAGACACCCTGTTCCAGGAGAAGCCTCCCAGCCTGGCCTGCTGTTCCCTTCCCTCATTCAGGGGCTTCTCCCCACCCCAGAGGGTACTTTCCACCTGGGAATTTTTAATGACACACATAGTGTAAAATCAAATAAAGAATGGTGTTTATTGATATTTATAGTTCATAAAAGCAGCTTATTTTGTTTTGTTTTAAACTTTTTTTTTTTGGCCACAGTAATTCTAAATCAGGAATTTCTGAGTGCAGAACTTAGTGGACTGTTTTGAATCTTATTTTTGTTTTGCTTTTGGGATTTTCGAAGCTTTCGATAATACTCTTCTTCAAGACCTTGAACATATTGACAGACATACAGAATTAAAGTACAGCATTAGATAGGAAGAAAGGATCCACTGTGCTGTGATTGAGAAAACACACTAGAGATAAGCAGATGTATCCATTTTGATCTTTGCCTGGTTATCTTTGAATCAGTACTAAATAGTACCAAGAGGACCAGTGGTACTATATTGTTTGAGCCCCTTTAGAGATTTTTATTAAAGAAAAGCAGTTTTATTGAAGAAAAACAGTTCAATATTTGACCAACTTAATTTTAGAAAATGCAAAGTAGTTAAATTATTAGAGCCTTACCTTCTGCCAGCCACAGGTACCTCTGGCTGTGGAATATGATTGCAACAAATGTGAATGTTCCAAAGAGAGCCATCTCTGAGAGGAACACAGAATTAGTTTTGTGGTCATTTTTGTTTTTGTTTTTTTTTATTTATTTTTTCTAAGAATGTTATTTATTTATTTTTGATTATCCATATTTATGGGATACAGAGCTGACTATCAGTATTCGTGTACAGTATATGATGATCAAATCAATATTATTAACATGTTCATCATTGCAAATCACAATTACTCTTTTTAAAGAATACAGAGGGCAGATATCCTTGGTGCAGCCAAACCTAATGACTGCTGCCATGACAATTATCTTACTGTTCTTTTGTAACCATGTATGTTCCTTTCCTGTAACTTGCCTGCCTAAAGAATAAATATGGAGAGAAGACCAGAGTTGGAGTCGGTGTTAATTTTCTGAGGAGAAATGCCTCGTTCTTGAGGGTTCCTGGAAATTAACCCCTTCGGGGCTTCTCACTGCTCAGAAGAAATGGGCTTTGAGTAGTCCTTTGCGTCTCCGTCACCCTGGGGGAGAGGTGACATCTCCAAGTCTCTATTTGCTAAAAAAATCATACATCCTTCCCCAGTCATCAAGGCACATCACTGTCCTGCAAAACTGGAGCATTGTTGATTGAGATAAAATTGAGCTGGGCATTACTGCTCTTCTGAAAAACTGGATTCTGCCGTGACCCTGCCTAGAGAATATGTGATGCTAGGAACATGAAAAACAGACAACACAAAGCATGTTGTCATATAATAAATTTCAGCTTCATAATCTCTAGTATATTAACTTTAAGCATAAATATTCCAAATAATTGACTATATCTCTGATTACATCTACTGTTTTCCATTTTCAGGAAAGAGAAGCAATGTATGTAATATATTCAAAATTATTTTCTGATTTAAAATATTTATTTACTGTCAATGTGTTGCTAATTGCTTGCAATTTTGCCTTCTGTAATTATGCTAATATAATGAATAAAGTGTACTGAGCAGTATTAATTTTTATATCTAGTTTTCAATTGGATGATTCTGCATGCTTTTATTTATGGCTTAGATGCATCTCATCTATTCTGGGTGCATAAATATTTTCTTGTTTGCTTATTTGACTTTGCTTATTTATACTGAATGAATTAAACTTCAACTCACTTGAAGACACCACTCTTCTTATATTGTTAATAGCTTATATGCCACAAAATACAGAATTTTTATCCTAATAAAGCATCTTCCATATAAACACATCAAGTATTACGCCAAGAAAAGTCTTGCTAATATGTGTGTGTGTGTGTGTGTGTGTGTGTGTGTATGTGTTTATAGTAATCTAATGCACTTCTATGCCATTAAAGTCAGTTTTATATTTTGTGAATCAATTAAGCTCAGCAACTGAGGGTATTTGAAGACAGCAATGTAGTGTAAATGTTAAGGTTTTATATACGAAACATCTATTATACTGTTCAGGCAGTTCAGGTTTAATGTATACCTTAGTCTCTTGAGGATAGATTTAGACATAGAGACTTCAAAACCCAGAGGAAGTTTCATTTATTAACACACTGGTCTCAATCACAGCTTTTTTGAACATCACGCAGTTGTGTTATTATTTCTCCAAGATTAACATAGGAAGGTTATACTATGATTAGACAAAAACACACTCCAATGAACATAAGCTGTTGAAATAATGTTTGGAAGATCAAATACAATAATGTGACCAAAGACAATAGGGTTTCCCCAATATTGTCATTAAATTCGATAAGAAAAGGTCTTTGTTTAAAAAAAGGAAATAAAAGATAACCGATTTTTAAAATACAATTCATAATATTTTAAAATTAACAGCCCACAAGGTTAACACTGGTTTTATCTTACTTAGCTCAGCCTTAGTTGAGGCATTTCAAATTTTCTATGTGGGTCTAAAAACATGTATAATTTTAGAATATAAGAAAAATATACATCTTGTTTCAGAGAAATTATCTTACACATTATCAGCATTTCCATTCATTTTTTTCATCTTGTTCGATGCTCCTCAGAAGCTATAACAATAGAAAGGTGTAATTTCCCAAAGCCCATGGACTGGGATGGAGAGTAGTGCTGATCTGGGGTTAGGGGACAAAGAAATGGAAGTTTAAGTCTAGTGCTCATTCACTCATATAACATCCGTCTAATAAGTGTGCACTAGAAACCAGACACGTTCTAAATTTGAGGATATTTTGGAATACAAAGATGATCTCATGTTTTGAGCTCCTGGGGATTATATATCTAACAAACAATGGAAATACTTAAAGATAAATGGGAAAAGTGTGCACAAAGTATGGCATGCCAACATCTCTGACTGTTCTGTGCTGTACCTGAAGAAAGCCTCTGATGTAGGTAGCAGGGGAGGGATGTTCTGAATCTTAACAGGAGAGGAAGCTAGAGATCCATATGCCAAAAGAAAAAAAATTGATGTTATGGAAATACCAGTTCCTCACCCCTGTCCACTGTCCCAAGATTTTCTTCCTCATTTAATATCTTCTTCAATGCCCAGTTTGATCTTCTTGCTGAAGTCCTCCTAACTTCCAAATTAATTATTTTTTCCAGATATTTGAGCTGACTTTGTGGTTTGTGGATGAATTAATTTGCAAATTTGGCCAATATGTTGGAAATAGGTGTCCAATTCTATGTTGTAATTATATTTATTTAATACCACATTTCAATAAATCAAGAAAATTATTGATTGGAAGATACATTAGTGAGCACTAAGAAAATAAAACTATATGCACTATATCATTTTAAGGTTGGCTATATAATGGATTCAAATTCAGTGATATTAGAGGGTGGAAAGTATCACTATTAGAACTCAGGAAATGTTGAGTAAATAAAGATTCACAATTCAATAATGCTTTATAAGTACCCTGTGATGTAGCAAGTGTGGATAGTATTGTTTGCATGGCAGAGAGGAAACATGAGAATCATTTGGTGCACAGGTATTTATTGAGTACCCAGCAGGTGACAGGTGGAATGCCAAGTCATTAGCTTGCAAAAAAGAACAAAGCAAACATCGCCTTTCCTGGTGAATATGCAAAGTATGCAAAGTGTTTTTAACTAGCTAAACCTACAGACTTTATCAGGACTATGCCAGACATTTAGAAGTCACGTGTTCCCCCAACCAGTCTAGTCCAGCGATACTTTACCAAATTAAACAGCCTTCCGAAAAAGAGAACCATTTTAAAATACTAATTCAGAGGTAAAATGTACTACAGAGATAAACGAACTAAATAATATATGTATTTCTCTTCTTTCTCTAAACAAAAGAAAATGTTAACGGTTTCCTGCATACCAGTTTCATTTTTAAACCTTTCCTCTGACCATAGGAGCTGACGCTGTGGAAGCTCAGTGTAAGAGATTTGAAGTGAGAGCAAGCGAAGATGGCAGGGTGCTGTTTTCTGCAGATGAAGATGAGATTACCATTGGGGCTGAAAAGCTGAAAGTTACAGGTACTGTAGATGGAGGTTTGGGAATGTTGTTTACTTCTTGAAAGAATGTGCAACTGCACCAGGAGCTCCCTTATAGGACACATGATTTCCATGCCTAAAACCTAGTCTCCCATAATGTCATGACATCACAACAGTTGATTTTCAAATCATCTTCACGTGAAAGGTACTGGTCGGGGTTGCAGAAGAGGATGATATTTAAAAATAAAAAAAAGGGAAGCTGTGTCTCTCGGGCAGAGGTAGGTGGAGGAAAGGGGGTGTGGTTGGTGGAAGAAAGATGGAGAGCACAGACTGTGTCAAAGTGACTACAGGTCATGGACAAATAAAATTTAGGGGCATTATTTAAAAGTAAAAGATACATAAAAGAAGAACTAGAATGTAGATACCAACTTCTGAATTAAGTAGGGGGAAAACATTCTTTTTTTTTTTTTTCCCCCTTTTTGTCTTTTTTTCGTGTCCGGCAACGGGATCGCAACCCTCGGTGTTGCTTCCACACCTCGCTCAGCCAGTGAGCGGGACCGGTCTGTACGTGGGATCCGAACCCTCGACGGGAGCGCCACCACGCTCCCAAGCGGCGCACTGTAGCAGTGTGCCACCGGGCCAGCCCCAGGGGGAAAACGTTCTAATAAAAGTAACTAACTTCTCATTCTCTAGGGTTTAGAATTAACCTTAAAGTATGTACATTGAGGGGGCCGGCCCGGTGGCGCACTGCGCTAGTGCGCCGCTTGGGAAGCGCGGCGGCGCTCCTGCTGAGGGTTCGGATCCCACATACAGACCGGTTCCCGCTCACTGGCTGAGCGAGGCGTGGAAGCAACACCGAGGGTTGCGATCCGTTGCCGGACACGGAAACAGACAAAAAAAAAAAAAAAAAAAA